ATACACGCGGGACAGGACTCCTCGCAATGGAATTCCCGCGCAGTCGTCCCACCCATCTCTCTCTCTCTCTCCAATTAAATAATGATTTATTAAAACAAATAAATAGTCTATCTATTTAAAATAGATAACCTCTATTAACTCATAATATTGTTTTATTTACTTATAATGTCTACAAATATTAGTTTCAATCAAATTATATTAAATTCAATATAAAAATCTAAAGATAACTAAACAATTAAAATGTCATTTTTATAACAAACAAATTGAAAGTTTTTGTAGATTGTTTTATAAATACAAATATTAAAGATAATTGATAATTTTTAAAATATACAGTAGCAATAAATTGCATGAATATAATTGTGATATTAAAAAGTAGAGTAAATACATGTACAGACAAATGACATCTTAAGCTGAAAACTTTATTTATAAAAGAAACACAACTATTAGTGAATCCATCGCTTCATTCAATCCGATTAACACTTATTTACTGCTAATTCATATACTGTTAAACACTCGCAAACTTTTAAATCATTTCAGCTATTGATACCGTACAGTTAATAATTGATCATGGTATTTTAGATTCAATCAATTGACAAATTCTTGTTTTTTTTGTTAATTTAATTTTTAATGATGATTTACAACATTTAATAACATGTATTATGTTATAAAAGTAAAGTACAGTACTTTCTAAGCATAATCATGAATCATGAAAATAATACTTTTAAAAATAATGAATAAATGTTTGCAAAAATACAAAGTTATTGTTTTACCACTAATTTGTTTATTGTTTCAACAATTAAGTCAATTAGAAATGAACGCTATTTTGCATTTTACTAACAAAATAAGAGCGCGTTTTAAACAATAAATTAATTTTAATTTAAACTGGATTTTAAAATTTCAAATAAAACCAGTAAATAGTTTAAATCGGATATCTCTGGACATCAGAAGAGTTCAGTATTGAATTGAGAGACAAATGACAGATTTAAAACTGAACGCTCGGGAACAGCAGTCGCTGACCACAAGGGGGTATACTTTGGAGACTCGGAGTATTAGTTCCGGTTCTTACGCTAATGTCTATAAAGCAAAGACAGCGAACGGCGAGAGTCGAGCCGTCAAAATCATCGATTGCACGAAAGTGTCCAATGATTATAGGGAGAGATTCCTTCCTCGAGAGCTCTACGCCCTGAAGAAACTGAATCACAGATTCATCACTAAAGTGTTTGAGACGTTTCTGGTGTCGAACCGTATGTTTACGGTCATGGAGTTGGCCACTGGCGGCGACCTCTTGGACATCCTTAAGGAGAAAGACGGACCGCTCGATGACACCAATTCGCGGCTCCTATTCAGACAAATCGCAGAGGCGTTAAAATACATCCATTCAGAGGGAATCGCTCATCGCGACCTCAAGTGCGAAAACGTACTCATTTTTGACAACAAAAAAGTGGCCAAATTGACTGACTTTGGCTTCGCTCGCACTGTGTATCTGCACACAACGGGTAAAAGACTGTTGACAGAGACTCAATGCGGAACAATTGGTTACGTCTCACCCGAACTGCTGGGCGGGCTTCCCTTCGACTCTATGGCCAGTGACTGTTGGAGTCTTGGAGTCATTCTGTATGTGATGTCAACCACGAAATTGCCGTTCAATACACGCCATCAAAGACGCAGACAACTGACCAAACGGTATAAACTGCCGGAAAGACTACACAACGACTGCAAAGACATCATCAAAAAGTTATTGGAACCGACGGTCAGCGAAAGGCTTACGATGAACCAGGTTTTACAGCACCCATTCATCAGTCAAGTGATAGTTTAGTCGAAGACAGTTCTCATTATGAAGAACTAAAAGATCTATTTTGTAATGAAAAATATCTCAATTATGATGTTTTCTAACACATAATGTTTAGTCAAATTCAACGATAAAAGAGATTTTATCATTAATAAAAGTCCAAATAGAAGTTTCAGAAAAATTGATTAGTTTTTGCTTTTATTATATTTATAATAATTTTTTATTTTAATAAATAAATCTAAATTAAAAATTCATTGATTGAGTGGAAGAGTTGGTGAGACTCCGGGCGACGAAGCGCTGGCAGTGGTCGGACTGTTTGGCTTAAAGTTTGGTTTTTCGATGCGTTGATAATTAGGCAGAATTTTGCTCAAGAAGTCGAGCTGATAGGTCTGCGGCGCCGGCTTGAGACTCCGGGCGACGAAGCGCTGGCAGTGGTCGGACTGTTTGGCTTAAAGTTTGGTTTTTCGATGCGTTGATAATTAGGCAGAATTTTGCTCAAGAAGTCGAGCTGATAGGTCTGCGGCGCCGGCTTCTCGTGTTGTGTCCGTCGACGACAATCGGTGCCGAAGACGACCGTATTTTCGGGCAACACTTCGTCGGACTCGACGCAACACATGGCGCCGATTACGCAGCCGTCGGACAGTCGTGTTCGCGGCCCGACTCGACACTTGGACTCCAAGACGTTGTGGTCGCCGATGGCGGGCGACTCGCAATGGGAACCGACTTCAAACACGTTATGCGCGCCGATAAGCATCGGTCGGGTGTCTGTGTTGACGATCGTAACCCTCTCTTCGATGAGATTCGAGTCGCCGATAATCACCGGACCTCTGGAGCCGTCGATGTGTGCCGTCGGGTGGATCACAGTCTTCGCGCCGATAGTTATGTCACCCAATAGTGTGGTCTCTTCGCAGCACACGATTGATCCCACACTCATCCGAACGCTACATATGTTTGCCATTAAATCATACGTTAATTATGTGTTAATTAAAGTGCAAAACAATTGATACAAACTTTTGGCGATTTATTGACATCTCTTTCGGACCAAAGATTTGAAGTAAAGTT